TACTCATTTTCGATTTTTGACCAAAATGAGCCATTTTCGGCCAATGTAAACGCCGTATAACACTTTATCGACACTTTATCTTGCGATTTATCCCACTGTGCATCGTGTGCGTCAAAATGGGTGAAATATTTCCATATAAGCACACATAATAGCATTTTCGTCTAAGCAGCAACGTGTTGCTAATGTTTTTAAATTTATAAATTCATATACAATATTATACATATGTATATAAAAATATTTATCTGAATAAGAAATGTTAGTATGTCAGTGAAGTGTAAATGTGACTTGCTTAAATCGTTTGCCTGATTTGCTCGCTGTGTGCCTGTGTGCTTTGGAGAGCTTCAATTAAATGTGCATATACTCGCGTATACGCAACTAAATTCACATACAATCGCCTCGACGATAACAATTTTCGTATCTGCTTAGAATTCTAAACAAAAAAAATGTTTTGAGTTAGGTAAGACGAAACTAAGGCAAGGGCAACACACAAATGTATCTAATGTTGTTTTTAGCTTATTAACAGCAACAACAACAACCGCAGCAATCGCAACTGAAGCAATAAGTATAAAAACTCAATTCAACGAAAGTTAATATAAACCAAAGCAAACAAAGATACTTTGTAAGGATGACATCATAGCTGAGCATATGCAGCTTTATAATTCATTCATTCAATTTATCAGCGTTCCTGTTCGCGCCATTGTTTGCGTATGTTTTAGCTTTAAGATATCATTTTTCAAATATGCTTTTTTACGTTGTTTAAATTGAAATTTAAACTTTACTAATTTCAGGAAAAAGAAATAGCTTTGCTATTTGTTGTTGCTTTTTTTGTAAATGATTCATTTTCGCATTCACAACCGAATTTAAGCGAACCCTTTAATTTCCTCCTTAGAACACATCATATGCAATCCTTAAGGAGTATCTTTCTTATATTTCATATATTGTTAATGTGTTTTTGTGCTTTCAATTTGTTGCAGTATAAGTATAAATTTACACATTGTATAATTTACATAAATAAATTAATGTAAAAATTCTACAATTTGTATATAGGCATATGTTTATATATTTAGTTACATAGATACATACGCATATGCTCGTCTTTATTGTAATTGTCAACTTATTTATGGCAATTGTTGTGCTTTCCTACATTTTAATTTCGTAAACAGTGTGAATGCAACATTTTACGTTAATCCGTTAATATTCAATTACAAACTGGTGCTTTGGTGCTTCCTTCTCAATTGAAGCCTCTTGTGCAACACCAAATCTACATGACACGCGGGAAGCGTCGAGTGGTCAAGACAAAGCGAGACATTGGTCAACTTTGCATTGCTTGACGTGGTGGCTTTGGCTTTCAACATGTTTGACTGGGTATTCCGGGTTTGTCAGGCTTAATATTTGCCTGCATAGCCCCTATTACACATTTTGTAATTTAACCGATTAAATGAACTATGCAACAACAACAAATTATATTTCGGATAATCTACTTTTATATATACGAGTATATAATACTTTTTTTTTGTAGATTTTTTTTTTACATTAGTTACTTTTTCCACTTATTGAAGAGGGCATTTGTCGACTGCATTTAAAGTGAAATAAGTAAATTTGTAACTGACGATGGAATTTCACTCCACGAAAATGAAAAAATAAAAAAAAAACCATTTGTTTACGCAGTTGTTCATTTAAAATACCGGGACTGGTTTTGTAAACATAACATACTTCTTCCAACAGATACGTATGTACTTGTTTGGTTATATGTATCTGTTCCCATACTTTTGTTTAAAATATTACGAAAATTTTCAGACTTGTCAATCAATAAGATTTTGAATTTTTTAAATAAGCGAAAAAAATATTCCATGCCATAAATAAAAAAAAATCTTAAATAAGTAAAAACGTAAATATTTAGTAAAGATAATCAATCGTTAAGAGTTGCTTCATATTCAATTTAATTTATTTTATTTACTCTTTGAATATTATTTAAAGCTATTTGTTTATATTTCATGCAGCGAAAAATACTTCAAATTAATTAATATTCATAAATTCATGAGCGCAATGTACTTTCAGTATTTACGATACTACGAGATGTTGACCGATTTTGTATTGGGCATACATGTTCAAAATTTCGAAGTGGTTACGTGTTGTAAGATATGTATGTAAAAACATTTGAACGGGTTTATTGCCAGAAAGGTACGCTGGTTGGTTACAGTACCAAGCAATCAAATTACTTTCCATGTACCTCATTTAACGATTTTTCGCCGAACCCCTAAGATGGAATTTAATAGATTCTTCGTCTTTACCGATGAATAGTCGTCTGATAAGCTGCCAAAGAAATACCCTCCCAAAAACCTATTTTTTCTGGACGCTAAAGCTGGACATTCACAAAGAAAGTGTTTAATGGTTTCTTTTTCCTGCAGGTTTCCATAACTTCTGCAGTGAGGATTATGAGGAAGGTATCTAAGACACAATTTTTAAGAAATTAAAAAGTCATTTTTGAATATAGAATATTAAAAGTAAAAGCCCTTGAAATTTGTATAGTGCTGTAGAAATTAATGTAAAACTCCTTACAAAACCTCATTTTATGTATTTTATGTACTTGAGTCTACATGTTTTATTCAAGTTATTTTTCTTTTTATAATGAGCCGTTCATATTATATATATATGTTTATGATATATATTCATACTCAATAAAAAAATATTTGTAATTTTGAAAAATATATGTTTTTTATCATGAGAAAAAAGTCTTAAAAAAGGTTTTGATAAATATCATTATAAATTGAACATTAATAAAAAATACTATACCCAGTTTTAAAAATAGTTTGACAATTCACCCAAAAAGATATATAATTAACTTATTTAAATACATTTTTCAATCCTCAGTTATATATTTGTTAAAGAAGAAACAACTATTGTATTGATCAAGTTAATCATTTTTTATATAGTGTGTTCTTTCTATACCTTTCGTAAAGTTCTAACTCAATTCTTAGTTTTAAGAACGAAAATAATTGTATAGGAGAGTGGCTTTATGTTCCGTATATTAATCTTTTCTGGATTATTTTATATTTATTCTTTCTTTATAATTTATTCTTTCTGATCTTTCTTTCAGTTATTAATTATTTTATTAAATATAATATATGGCAGGGCGGAGTGTCTCAGATTCAAATTATTCAAATTATTTCAAATTATTTTAGACTGTTAGAATTTTTTTATTTGACTTTCTCTCAATTATTAATTCATTTATTAAATATATGTTAAAAAATTAAAAGACAAACACGATATTAAAAAAATAAATAATTGTGTAGATTACGGATGAAGTAGTAGTGACTTCAATATCTAGGGGATTGTGTTACTTCACAGTTCGCAGAAGTAGCGAAAGTAGATTTATTGGATCTATTTAATATTTAACTTCAGCTGAGAGACGAAAGGGCTTAACAAGAACAACACATAAATC